CTTTGTATAATATGTGGTGACCAGCTATCCAATGAAGCTATGAAACCTTCAAAACTGCTTTGCCACAGGGAGACCAAGCACCCTACATTAAAAGACAAGGTTTTGGAGTTCAGAAGAAAAAAATGAGAACACAAAGAACAGAAGTAATTATTGAAGGCCACCACTTCATCAAGTATATCTGCATTGAGAGCATGATTCTTAGTGGCTAACCACATTGCTAAAGCTAAGAAGCCCTTTACTATTGGTGAAGAGTTGAGCCTGCCTATTGGTAAGGACATTTGCCGTGAACTTTGAGAGAGGCTACAGTTCTAAAGGTGGCACATGTTCCTCTTTTGGCTACCACCACAACTAGACAAAATGATGAAACAGCAGAGGATATTGAGGCACAATTGTTAGAGAGGATTAATGAGTCACTGTGGTACACAATCCAGGTTGACGAGTCTACCGATGTTGATAACAAGGCAACAATGCTTGTTTTGTGTGATATATTTTTCAGGAGGATGTGCGTGAGGATACATTATGTGCACTTTTGTTGCCAATCAACACCATACCTGCAGAACTATTCAAGTCTCTGAATGATTACAAGGCAGGAAAACTGAATTGGTCATTTTGTGTCGGTATATGCACAGACGGAACGGCTGCCACGACTGGACTACTTTCTGGTTTCACTACTTGGGTCAAGGAGGCCGATTCTTAATGTGAGTCTATGTACTGTGTCATCTACAGGGAAATGCTGGCTAGCCAAAAAATGTCACCTGAACTAAACAACATTTTGCAGGATATGATTAAAATGATCAACCACATAAAAGTATTAGGTTATTAAGTATGAAATCTTCAGATTTTCTGAAGTACTAAATTAGACAGTTGCTATCTCTGGCATTTCATTTTGACATTTCTTGTTTCATTTTTATTGTGAAGGTACAACCTCATTCTTTCGAACGCACATTTTGGCTTATGATTATCTTTAAAATTTTCTTTTAGAGCAATTTTTGTGAAACCATGGATAAGCCAAAAATTCATGTTATTTTTTAATATGAGTTCTGTCGTGGAACCAATACATGGAACCAGACAGCTCAAAATATCAACTAAGTATTTGGGAAGAATGTAGCTAATGAACACACAGTATGTTGATGGTTTGAGAAATTCCATTCTGGTGATTTTAATCTTGAAAATGAACCACATGGGTGACCTGACACCAAGGTGGATAATAATGTGCTAACAGCTGTAGTGGAAGCGAATCCACCTCAATCTACACATGAATTAGCAGCAAGGTTTGACTTTACTAGTCCAACAACATTGGACCATTTGAAACAAATCGGCAAGGTAAAGAAGCTGGATAGATGGGTACCACATGAATTAAACGAGCATCAGAAGAGAAATCGGCTCAAAGCTTGCCTTTCTTTGCTGTCACGACATAAAGATGAAGCATTTCCACATGGTATTGTTAAGTGTGATGAAAAATGGATTCTTGTTGACAGTCAAAAGCATTTGGCACGATGGTGAGATAAAGATGAAGTGCTGAAACACAGTCCAAAACTGAATATTCATGAAAATAAGCTAATGGTGTCTGTTTGGTGGTCCAGAGCTGGTATTATCCACTAGAGCTTCATGAAACCTGGTCAGTCTATTACAGTGGATGTCTACTGCAACCAATTGGATGAAATATTGAGGGTTCTTGTGCTTAAGCAACCAAGATTGGTCAACAGAGACAGGCCAATCCTCTTCCAAGACAACTCTTCTTTT